GATGACGCTAAATTAAAAAAACTGAAAGTAAGTTCAACAATTTTAAAATTAATTGGCCTAAAGCTAATTAAAGTAAAATGAAAAAAATTATAGAATATTATTTTCAGGGCTTTGAAATTCTATGGTATTAGAATGTTATTTGAATCTAGAACATTCCCTCTGATACCATAAACGTAACACCTAATTTTTTTAATTAAAGTAAAATAGAAAAAAATTATAAAATATTATTTTAAGGGTTTTAAAATTTTATTGTATTAGAGTGTTAGTTCAATATAGAATATTCCCTCTAATACCATAAACATAACACTTAATTTTTTTTTTACTAATCTCCCAATCATGCTAAACTACCTATAATTATTCCTTCATATATATAGTCATATCAATAATCACATTTGCCTTACTCAAATGATATTTTAACTCAAAATTGTCTTTTAACAACTTCATCTATCTTATTTGTCTCATATTTAGCTTTTTTTTAAAGATATTTGAGACTTTTATGATCACACTATAATTTACTAAATTTCAAATAGTTATCTGGTACATCTATAAATGATACTTTGATAATTCCAAGTGAATCATTTAAGCTTCCAAAAAGAAATCTTGTGATAACAGCTATCCAAAACTTGTGCCTAGGACAAATAGTGTGTTAAACACAATACTAGAGTCAAATTATAATCAACATCAATATGGATAATGACGTAGTACTGTAGAGAAGAAGAAAAAGGTCGGAGATAAAGAAAGAAAAAAAGTATAAGGAAGGAAAGAAATAAACCAGATAACTAGTCTCAAAAAACTAACATATAATTAGTGAAAGCACTATTTATGAGGAGCATATTATGAAAAAGTAAAATAAACAAATAAACAGATAAACAAATATAGCCAGAAGCTATATATGTGCATATATATATATATGTATGTGTGTATGAAACAAAGTTCCAACATACACTAAATAATCACTAATTTCTAAAATATTTAATTCTATTTAATCACAGCAAGTCCTCCAAAATTTGATTTCTCCATATATTATTATCTTATTCTCTATTATAATTTAGAGCTTAAAAGAAATCATCAACTGTCAGATACTGCTCCCATGTTGAAGCAAGTGGCAGATGCTTTCAAAATTTAATTTTCACTTTAAAAATAAAATATTTGCCAAAAAAAGAAAATAAAACATGGAAAGTTTGAAGTTGAAATTGTAAATCTAGAATATGCAAAAGTGGGAAAGTCTCGTCTACGTATCAAACAATGGATCAAGAAGCAGTCGCTTTTTAAATTTAATAAAGTGACTTATGAATAGGGTCAAGAAAAATTCTCTCTGCCTTATAAATAGTACTAAGGAGTAAGTATTTATATATATGGTTTTTTAAACTATTTTGCATTACTTATAAATTGAAATATAATCTAATGATATATTACTTCCAATCTTTAATATAAGAATTTGTTTGACTTTTATATTGATCCTAAATATAAGACTCTAATTCATTTTGTCTCTTATATCTATCTAGTTTCTTCAAGTAGTCCTTATAATAATGGTAGCTTAACCAATATATTTGATTAGTAAGGATATTTTAAAAAAAATAACACATTTATTAGAAATAACTAACTTAACTAATTTTCTTAATCTACTCAAATTAGTCAACTAACTCTTATATTATGGACCAGAGGTAGTATATAAATACTTTAAAAAGATCATGTAACGCATGTTATAATTAAATAATTCAGTAACTTTTTTTAATTTTTTTCAAATTAGTTAATTGAATTTTATATTAAAAACTGAAAGTAATATTATTTTCTTAAAATAAATATATATTAAGTAGAGATAAAATTTTAAAAACTTATCAAATTTTAAAATAAAATTAATGAAATTAAGGTGTTTTTTTTTTTTTGAAATATGGTGAAGGTATCTTACAAGTATGAATAGATGAGCATTAAGATTTGTTTAGTATGACCAAAAGGGAAGGGGTGGGAGGGGAGGAAAAATTTTAACAATAAATTTGATTAAAACAATTTAAAATTTTTTTGAGAGCCTTTAATAATTTTTTTCACTCTTTCATCTGACTTCTCTGATTTTATAAATCCAACTCATCAAAAAATTTTGAAAGATCTATTTCTTTTGTACCAAAGATAAAGTTAAGGGTAGGACAAACTCAATGTTCAAGAGCATTGTTAAAGATACTTACAAATTATTTATTAAAAAAGTTGGTTTAAAATATAAAAATTTAAAGATAAAGAAATAATTTTAAATGTCTGAAATTTTATTTATAATTAGAAACATATTTTGGTCAAGTTACTTATATTCATTGTGCAAGTTTTCTAATCACACATAATTATGTATTTTTTTCATGTGGGTTTATAAATAGATGCTAATATTTAAAAAATGAAACACATGACTATGTGTGATTAGAGAACTTAATATAATAGATATATGAAACTTGACCTAAGTATAATCCTTAAAAGTAAAATTTGTATTATGCTGGCAGAGACTTAATGTTCAAAAATAAATAAGAAGGTAGCATTATTTATCAACTTTAATTTTTAAAAAAAAAAGTTAATTAAGCAAGACCATCATTTGAAATTTGAAGTGCTAAAGGGGATTTGAGGGGGGAAGCTGAAAAGTAAACGGACAGAGTATACTTTGCTGCTTTAATAGTGAGATTAATTAATTAAAACAGAGCGGTAGTTAAATTTGAACATTAATGAAATAGTATAAATTTGACATTGAGGGGGGGGGGAAACAGTGAGTAGAGCTTTACAGCATTATCAATGAAAATTATTGAAAAAATATTATTTTAAGTTTTTAATATAAGATTTAAATGATTAATTTAGAAAAAGTTAAAAAATTTTAAATTATTTTAAAATATTTATATTTATCATCTTTTCAAACTAATTTAATTTACTTATAAATTAATATATATAATTTAATAATTTATATATATTTTTAAAAATTATGTAATATATACAATAATTAAATAATTAAATAATTTAATACTTTTTTAAATTAATTAATTAAATTTTAGATTAAAAAATGGAGAACAGAGTTAGTAATTAAATTTGAACATTAATAGATTTGGTCAGAGGAAAAAAATGATAAAGTAGATTTGGTCAAGGGAAAAAGAAAAAAACAAAAGAGTGATAAAGTAGATATTGATCTGTTACTTGAAAATGGATATGCGTCGATTTGAAGCGAGAAATAAAGTCGCAGTCATCGACAAACAAACGGATTGATTAAGTACTTAAAAGATTGATTAAAAAAAAGTAGGAAAGATTGATTAAAAAAAAATTAGGACATCTTTATTGCATTATTAAGAGACCAAACCTTGCTTCTCTCCATTTTTTTTTCCTTTTTTGATTTAATACAATTTAATTGTAGGGATACAAATATGTTAATATTGAACTCGAATTCAAAACCTTATTAAAGTGGAGGTATATTTGTCATTATGACAACCAGCTGTTGACCTTCTTCATCTTTTTTCTCCCTTTTCTCTTTTTACTTCCCATTTTAACTTTTGCATCAGATTTTAAATAGTTAGAATTTAATTTTTAAGCTCATCCAAATAAAGCAAGAGTCATTTTGGTAATTTGAATAAATTAAAAAAATTAAATAAATTGTTTAGTTTTAATAAATATGACATGATCTTTCTAAAACATCACTATACAAAATTAGATTATATTTCAGTTTATAAGATAGACATATTAATTTAAAGAAAAATGATAAAAAAAAAATTTTTAACAGCCCAGTGTTCAAAACGTCCAGCATAAATTGACTTTTAATTTACGTTGGGTCTGGAGAAGGGCCGGATCCCATAAGATTTGATATAGATAGCTTTGCTTTGAAAATTAATTTCAGAGGCTGATTCCACGACTTCAACCATTTAGGAAAAAAAAAAAAAATCAAGTCTCTCAAGTCTCAATGACTTTTAAATTTGGAATTAGAAAAGAACAGTGAATGGCTAATTGCCCCAACGGCTCGGTGACCCTTGACTGAGGTTCCGAATTTGAGCACAGTGAGAGAAGAGGCAGAAAGCAAAGGAAAAAGATGGAGAGAAGGCAAGCGGGCGTAGGGAGAAAGAATATTATATTTCGATACTCAAGAAAAACTATCAAGGGGGCATTTGGGTAGGGGGAAAAAATCATGTTTTTAAAAATATTTTTACAGTATACAAAGTAAATATATAAAAAAATTTATTTTGATTTAAAAAAAATACTTTTTAAAAATATTTTTTAGATTATCCAACCCCCCTACATCATGAAAGGCAAGTGTAAAAGAATAAAAATAATTTGTTCTTAGAACTTTGTATATTTGTGCGACATGTGCTGTGATTTGTGAATGTGTGCGGATGCTCAGGTTTAAATGTGACTCACGTGGTTTATCCCCCCTTTAATATAGTTATACAAGATACAAGCTAAAATCAATTGACAAATGGCTCCCGATGTAAAATAGAATATGCTATTTTTGGTTTTTAATATAAATTTTTTTTAAATTTTATTTTCATTCTAAATATAATATTTTAATCTACTTTGTCTTTTAAATTTATCTATTTTTTTTCAAAAAATAGTCCTTATAATAATAGTAGTTTTAGTCAACTGACTTGATTAGTAAGAATATTTTAAGAAAGATAACACTTATCTATTACAAATAACTAATTTAAGTAATTTTCTTAATCTATTCAAATTAATTAACTAACTTTTGTATTAAAAATAAAAATAATATATTATAAAATAGACTTTACGACGAGGAGCAATTTAATGTCATTAGCCCGTAGGAAATGAATCTCGATCTCTACGCGCGCGCGCGCGCACAAAAATAGCCCCTTAATATGCAACAACAGATGGGACTCATGACAAAAATTACTGTAGTTGGTTTCACTGCAACACATGAAAGCATATGGGTCTTGTTCTTTCCACTTTCTTCCCCTCTTTCCCCCTTCACTTTTCTTTCTGCTTTTCAGCTTGGTTTCTTTCTCTGTTCTAGGAGAGGGTATCAAAAAGGCAGGACAGTAGAGAGAGAGAGAGAGAGAGAGTCAATATATATATTATATTGCTCATATCAATCAGCCAATAGCATCCCCTCACAAAAATATCTCATAACTGATGATTGCTTCATCACTTCACGTTTAAACATTTATTGACATCATTGTAACTGTTCTTTTCTCTCAGCCAGGAATGGTTTGAACATCATCAGAACTCCAAGTGCTTCTACTAGGTTCAGCATAAAAAACACCAAATTTGTGCCTGTAGTTAAGTGTCCCAAAGTTAGTGAGCTTGCCTAATTGCAGCTACTGATATACTGATATGAAGCATTAAGGGACGGATATTCTAATACATGCAGTCATGACAGAGCATTCAGTTGTAGAAAGTATGTTTTATATTTTTATTCAATAACTATGTCACAAACATCAAAAGCAGTAGCAACAACAACAACAAGCCTGATCCCATCAGATGGGGCCAGTTACATGGATTGCACAATGCTATTATGCTCTATCAACAACCAAGTCTTTAAACAAAATATGAGAAATAGAATACAGCTCAAACATATTAGCTGAGCATTATACCTGGGAGGAAAGAAGCATTTAACCGCTTTTGTGACCAACTTAATCTGCAGGGACCAAGAGCATAATTAGTGAACAGCTGATAAGTTTGAAAATGTCGCACATTGTGAAAGAAGCATGTTAATCAATGTGTTCATTTGAGGAAGCATGCTAGAGATTACAGCAAAAATTTGCATAGATAGTTTCTATATGGAAAATTCATGTTACTTCTTCAAACTAAGGCTGGCTTACAACACAAGAACATCAACTGTGGAGAATACAAAACACCCACCAGTAACAGATGATAGAGAGAACATAAAAACTAAAATGTAGAGACTGATGGAGTTACAAACATCCTGACAGTCTCAGTGAATAAATGAAAACATCCTGCCAATTCAAACTTACATTTCTTTTTAATGTAACACAAACCACTGACCATTTGGCCAATGTAGCTTGATCCAACCAATTAACCTAACTCTTGCAATCAAATTTTTGCTAAAATGATCATTTATGCAAAAACCAAAACAGGGAAAAAGGGAAAAAAATTGAAAGGTGCACTTACACTACACCACCTAAAGCAGGGCCACCTGCTTTGAAGAGTGACATAGCTGTCATAGCAATACCATTAGCTGCTCCCCTTTGGTGTTGTTCCTGTTTTTCCCAATCAACATGCCATATTAGCCCAATTCAATCACGACAATCTCACAACTACTTTAAGGAAAAAGTAAAAATAACTAACGAATTGAAATTAAAGAATTCGTAACTTACCACTGCTCTATTTTGCAAAAGGAATAAACAGGTATCAATTATTGCCTGACACAAGAAAAATTTATAATCAGGAAGCTCATCATGTAGATATACGTTTTGTGAAGGAAAGTTATTTTTCGCATTCTAACATGTAAGACAACAATAGCCTCTTTTCTCTTCTATGTTTTCCTCTTGTAAAGGACAGCTTATGAAGCATGAACACAGCAAAAAAGGAGCTGCGTCCTTGTCACACAGTTATACACTTCTATTAGATATGACAAGACATTACATGATACTTTAAATTATCTATGAGCCCCTACAATTTATTGTGTCACCATATTTGTGTGTCGAAGTTTATGCCACCTAAATTTCATCGAGGAAATTCTGCAAATTGCATTTACTTTTGTCCGTATCTAACAGATTACAAATATCTATAAAAATTACTAGATTCCAGCCATTTTCCTTCACCTTTAACCCCTCAATGCTACCATTTCAGTCAGTAAAATAAAAAAACAATGCACTTACAGGGATACATAACATAAGGACTGAAGCAATAGTTATCACTAGGTGCAGTGGAAAGCCAGATAGCATCGCTATGAAAGGGTAACTTTGCAAGAGAGGTATGGTTAAAGCCTGCACGTGATACCAAAATAATGGTACAGATTAGAAGCAACTGACAATGGAAATCCTGAATCATAGTAATTATTGTATGAAAGTGAAAGCTAACCGCTGCTATGCGAGCAAGATTAATGGTTCCACATACTTTCTCCATAGTCGGATAAAGGAAGATTTGGTAAAGCAAAAGAGCAAATCCTAACCAGATGAGCAGAGGTCAGTGCTAATCAGCATAATATCTAAGTGATACATGCATGAAGACAATGTAAACAAGAAAACGCATCTTTGTAATGCATCTCAATCTTACCAATGCTTGGAACTTTAATTAACTGAAATTTACTCAACAAGATTTGGTTACATAATATGCCTAGGAGCAGGTTAGTATAAATGACCTCATAAAGGCAGTTACATTTATGCATAATACTGGGGATAAAAGGTTACGAAGAAAGTCCAATTTGATAAATGCATCTAATCTTACCAATGTTTGGAAATTAAATTAACTGAAATTTACTCAACAGGATTTAATTACATAACACGCCTAGGGATAAAAGGTTAGGAAGAAAGTCCAATTTCATACATCCAGAAACTCATAGCCATCAATGATATACCTGATATTGAAAGAACATTGCCGACATCATCCGTTGTAAAATTTAAACCCCCCAGCTCTAAAGGACTGACAGCCCATAATGAGAAAACCTGCAGAAAGTAAAGCATTGCCGACATATAGCCTCAAAGAAGAAAGGCAAGAACCTATTCTGCTCCAAACATGATGGGATCGTTAACAGTTCAATGCTACATGAATTTTTTAAAAATGATGTCAAGCAGTATCAATTTAATAATTATCCACAGCATTTTTCAAGGATCAAAATATGATTCTTTTTTCCTTTATAAATTTATGTTTTTACATTTTACCACCAACTAGAGATGGTCCAATGCATTTGCCTGGAACCAAGATGAAACGGATTATTCATAACTTGCGACCAATGCAGCTCTTTGCACTTCTTATATTTTATATTGATAGATGATAGACTAACTTAAGAAACAAGACTTCCGTTCCAGAGAGCTAATTTAGATTATGCTGGGATAGTTTACAACAGAGGCTATTTATCTTCAACATGGGTTGAAAGAAGATAACAGAGCAGAGAGAGACTCTTACATATGGTTTTCATTGACCTAGGAAAAGCTTATGATTGATTATTAAGTAAGAAGCATACCTCTGCATAGGTTATATCATGCAGTGAGAAAACACAATAAACAATGATTGATGACATGAGGGGCCAATTCAGGAAGAGGTTTTCATCTTTCTGAACTGTTTTCTCCGTGATTTCATTTTCAAAAGCCTCCGCATCCTTATTGGACTCATTGCTAACATTGTGTTTGTGCAATGTTTCCTGCATATTTTATAGAGAACAAGTCTGATATCAGAAGGCTGCCTTTCATCAAAGAGAAACAGCCCAAGATACAATATGTGCATTACACCCACACACACACACACAACTCTGGGGTTCTACTTTCAGTATTTATACATCTAAGTCATGTAGAGAACTATCAAACAAATAGAGAATGAAAAGGCAAAAAAACTATCAATAAATTTTCAGGCTTCACCAAGTACGAGACTCTAAACTCAAGAACAGAACTCATCAGTTTCACTAATTAGGAGAACCATAATAGAACTATGCCTTTAACCCAGAGAGGGATATATTAGGAAAATCAACAGATATGTTGTTGGAGCTTAAAATATGTTACAACAGTGAGTGGTTAAGGATCAAGTTTCCAAAAATATGTCAAGGATTTATGGACTTAGGATTGAACTTTGGCATACACTGTTTATATTACCCTTTATATTTAATACTCTTCCGGTTCTAAATATAATACCCAAATTTTATTATAAATTACACTACAAAATGGGTCTTATATTTAGGATTGGAGGAGTATAATTCACAATAATGATTATTAACTAAATCATAGGCCTTGTGCATTGCATGTAACCCAAAGAGAAAGGTGCGTTGTTAATGGCTTGTGAACAGCAAGTTTTGCAAGAGCCATTAATTACCGGGAGCCAGATGCACGCAACTAATACAGCAAGTGCAAAGGCTGATATTACAAAGCAGGGCAGGAAGTATGGAAACCTGAAAACCATTTGAATGGGACAGACAAATATCAGCATACCGTAATAGAAAATGAATATGAACAATGAAAGTAAAGCTTTAGAAAGGGAAGCCAAAGCTACTGTTATTTAAAATTTCAGGTATACTCACTTATCAAATAAGGATCCTTTTGGAAATATATGTGGATATTTCTCTACTGGCTGCAATACCAAAATTCCCAAATTATTAGAAGGAGAATTGATCCACGTTTGATAGGTGTGCTCCTGGACATGTTTCCACACGCATGCAACGGAAAATAGAGGTAGGATATTTATTCAATTTTTCTAAAAATTATTATGGTACGGTGATGTTTAAAATTTTTGACATGGAATTCTCATTTTTCCAAAAATATATTTAATCTTATATTTTATATATACACACACATATTAATTATTAATTAATTATTATTTTTCATATACCATTTATTACATTAGTAAAAAAAAAAAAATATTATTTACTGATTTATTAGTTTGAAAAAATATAAATTAAAATCTGTTGTGATTATCATATTAGCTTATATCCTTAATTTGCATATAAAAAAAGTGATTCTAATAACAAATATTAAAATATTCTCATTTTATCAAAATCACTTTTTTCACAAAATTTATTATTAAGATAACTTTTTTCTCCAAAAGCTATTCTCCAAACCATATTTTAGTTCCCACCCAAAAATCCCAAAAATAAACACCTACTCCATGGAAATTCGCTTAGATGGGTTTCTTAGCACAAAATAATTATTCCTCTGGTTTTTAATACATGAACCAATTGTTAAGTTAATTTTAATCCTAAATATAAGACATATTTTTCATATTTATCAATTTTTTCTAAATTACTCATATGGATACTCCCTCAATCATAATCAAGTAAGTGAGGAAGGGAGGATATTAAGAAAGATGATTATGGTATTTTAAAAAAATATATCATATTTCTTATAATTAACTAACTTACTTAACTTTCTTAATCTAATCAAATTCATTAAATAGGTCTTATATTAAAGATAAGATGGGCATCTTATGTCCCCATGAGAACGTCAACCCACTGTCGAGATCTAGTTTGATGGACAAAGAAAGGAATAAAGTACCTGAGCCAAATAGCCTCCTAATGCTGGACCAATGACTAAGGCTATGCCCCAAGCTGAGCTGTACTGAAACCAGATCACGCAATCACAATATCACAAAGAGCAAGTAATTCTAAGAAATAATAGCATATCAAAGTAAATTAGGCATACAGTTGCGAGTCCTGTAGCTTGGTATTCTTCTGGAAGAATTTCAGTGCAATAAGCCTGGTGACAGAGAAGAGAATGCTGTTATGCAAGAGAGCCATGTAAAGAACAATCAAACAGATGGATTAACCAAAAGCATCTTAATTCAAACTTTTGATTTAATCCAGGTATTTCTGTTAAACGAAAATTCAGTGAACTGATATTTTAGACCTCAAAGGTTACACTTCATCTCGATTTGGTCTCCCAAATTTTGATCGCCCCATTAAAGTCTTACAAAGGGCCCTTCATCTTCAATACCATCCTTGCGTTAAAGCCTTTAAAAAAGTAACAAAGTAGGTGATATGTGTAAATAGTACCATGATTGTTCCAAGTGAACCATTCAAGCCTCCAAGAAGGAATCTCGTAATAACAGCCATCCAAAAACTCGTACATAAGCCAAATAGCGTGTTAAACACAATGCTGAAATCAAATCATAATCAATATCAATATGGATAACCTTATTCACGTAGCACTGAAGAAAGGAAGAAAGAGGAAGGCGATAACAAGAGAAAGAGAGGGATGAACTTAGAAACTAACAAGATAAACTTAATTCAATTAGCGTCAGAAAACTGACGTACAGCTAGTGAGAGGACTATTGATAGAGGTCCCATTACAAGAAATAAAATAAAATAGAGAATATAAAATGAAAAAAAATAAATAGCACGAAGTTCCAATAGCTACTAAATAATCATCAATTTCTTAGGTACTCTTCTTGTCCTTAATATATGGCTTAATTATTAAATTGATATTGGTTATAAATATAAGACATATTTATCATATTTATCAATTTTTTCTAAACTATCCCTATGAACACTCCTTAACTATAATCAAGTAGGAGATGAAAGGAGGATATTAAGAAAGACTATTATGGTGTGAAAATTGTTATGGATTAAATTATAAGAAAGTTTTGAAATAAAAAATGAATATTTGTGAACACTGTGGATATCATTTGCAAATGAGCAGTTCAGATAGAATCGAACTTTTGATTGATCGAGGTACTTGGAATCCGATGGATGAAGACATGGTTTCGGGGGATCCCATTGAATTTCATTCAGAAGAGGAACCTTATAAAGATCGTATTTATTCTTATCAAAGAAAGACAGGATTAACTGATGCTGTTCAAACAGGCACAGGTCAACTAAATGGTATTCCGTAGCAATTGGGGTTATGGATTTTCAGTTTATGGGGGGTAGTATGGGATCCGTAGTAGGTGAGAAAATCACCCGTTTGATCGAATATGCTGCCAATCAATTTTTACCTCTTATTCTAGTATGTGCTTCTGGAGGAGCACGTATGCAAGAAGGAAGTTTGAGCTTGATGCAAATGGCTAAAATATCTTCTGCTTTATATGATTATCAAGCAAATAAAAAGTTATTCTATGTCTCGATCCTTACATCTACTACAGGTGGGGTGACAGTTTCCAAGGAATACAAATAACCTCGGGTTTTTTTCAGATTTGGCGAGCATCTGGAATAACTAGTGAATTACAACTCTATTGTACCGCAATTGGTGCATTGGTCTTTGCAGCCTTAATGCTTTTTGCTGGTTGGTTTCATTATCACAAAGCTGCTCCAAAATTGGCTTGGTTCCAAGATGTAGAATCTATGTTGAATCACGATTTAGCGGGGCTACTAGGACTTGGGTCTCTTTCTTGGGCGGGACATCAAGTACATGTATCTTTACCGATTAACCAATTTCTAAATGCTGGAGTAGATCCTAAAGAGATCCCACTTCCTCATGAATTTATCTTGAATCGGGAGCTTTTGGCTCAACTTTATCCCAGTTTTGCTGAGGGAGCATTGTTTCTTGAACAGTTCTTTCAAAAAATGAATCCGCCTGATTTATGAGTAATAAGATAATTCATGACTTAGGGGGGGTTTAAGAATAGAAAGGAATAACCGAATTGAGTTAATGGATTTACCTAGGTCAAGAGACCAATAAATGATTTTTATATTTGAAACCCATTAGAAAAGAAGGGACAATCAACGAGAAATCAAATCATACAGAAATGATAAAATAAAGAAGGCCTTGGCCCTGAAAATGCTATGAGGTGCTCGGAAATGGTTGAAGTAGTTGAATAGGAGGATCACTATGACTATAGCTCTTGGTAAATTTACCAAAGATGAAAACGATTTATTTGATATTATGGATGACTGGTTACGGAGGGACCGTTTCGTTTTTGTAGGTTGGTCAAAAGATGTTAAAGAAGATTATGCCAGATCCGACATAAAAAAGGGTGTAAAAAAAAAATAAATACACGAACAACATCGAAGCAGAACTTAATTGCTTCCTAAGAAGGTATTTGCTTTTTCAATTGAACTGGCGTGATTGCTTAAATGAAAGAATAATGAATAATATCCAAGTATATTGTCTCCTGCTTAGACTGAAAAATATAAAAGAAATTGCTATAGCCTCTATTCAAAGAGGAGAACTAAGTCTAGATATTATGAAAATTAAGAATCAGAAAGATTTCACTCTTACAGAATTGAATAAAAATACGGAATTGATGAAAAAAGGAATATTGAGTATCGAACCGATTCGTCTGTCTAGAAAAAACCATGAACAATTTAATATGTATCAAACCATAGGCCTTTCGTTGATTTATAAGAGAAAGCACCAAATTAATCAAAGATACCGAGAAAAAAGCTACGTTGATAATCCACAATTTCATTTCTCCAAATATTCTCTTCTTTTGCTCTACTATTTGTCATCCAGATCATGGGTAGGGCTACTTACACTGCAACAGTTCCTATGAGTATAGTATACTTTCGACCATATCGATCAGCCACTATTCCCCAAGCTACAGATGTCAATCCTCTGCCAAGCATAAATGAAGAACCTACAAATTTCATATGGAGACCAGCATGTTCCATATGTAGATCAATATTTGAAGGGCTTGAAAATCTGTCTAATAGACATCAGCGGAATGGAAGGACTAAAAGGAACCTTACCCACATAACCAGCATAGGAACCAATGTCTGCCTCCGTTTCTGCAATACCAAAATCTCTTACCTGTGAATAAATTTTTATGAATAATTCCTCTTACATGTTGCAGTATTGAAGATGCTCTTACATGCTCAAAAGTAAGAAGCAACATAGGGTCCGTTTGGATTAACATTAGTAGTAAAAAAAAAATTTATTTTTAATCTGACTTTTAGAAAAATGAGATTGTGTAAAAGTTAGATTGAAAAATATGATTTGTATTTAGATTGATTTTTATAAAAGTTAGTTTGTAAAGTAAAAAAAATTGTTAAGTGAGTTTAATTTGTAGAATGACCAAAATGGGTATAACTTTTATTAAATAATGAGCAATGATTAAAAATATGAATTTACAATATATAATAATTTTAAATTATTATAATAGGAAAAAGTTATATTTAATAAATAAAATATATTTAGATTAGAAACCATAGTAATGTGAAAATTTTTGAACCAAATAATAGCACATAATTAATTAGATAATATACTCTATATAATTTATGAAAATATAAAATGAAAAACAATACTAAAAATAAAAATATTATAAAAAATGTTAAAAGTTATTTTTACTTAACAGAATATTAAAAATAAATAACCAAAGACTGATTGAGAAGTATAAAAAATATATAGAGAGAAGCATAATAATAATATAAATATAAGGGTAAAAATGTTTTTTAATTCTAAAAAAACTACTTTTATATAAGTCATAAATAAGCTTTAAGTGCTTTTTAATCGTACTTAAAAATATAATTTTTGACCCATAAATCAGATTAGTCAAAAACCATAACAAACAGTTTCTAAATTTACAAACTGACTTATCATACTCACAAGTTACTTTTTAACCCCCGAAACACCTCAACAAACAGGCTTATAGTTGAAGACTAAAATTTTTTATTTCTGAGTTATTTCATAACAAATGAGAAAGCAGATGGTAAAGCAATACTTTAAAGCGATCAGTTGGAGCATTTGTGAGCTCGAATAGAGGCTTGTCGAATCAGTCTCTTTGGAGGAGAAATGTTCGATCTCCAACATTTACCAAGGTACTACCAAGCTGCATTTCAACTTATACCATATTTATCTCTTAAGTTGAATGATGGCATTTATGATTATTCAAATACATCCCAGATCCATCCCCACAGTAAGCCTTTCAAGGAAATTTCCAAAAAAAAAAATTCTAGTTTTAGTTAACAATAATAAATATTCCCCGGTCCTTAATATAAAACATAATTGTTGATTTGATTTTAGTCTTAAATATAAGATATATTTATCATATTTATCAATTTTTTCTTAATTATCCCTATAGATACTCCCTCAACCATAATCAAATAGAAGAGATGGGTAAGATATTAAAAAAAAATGATTATGGTGTTTTAGGAAAAACGTGTCATATTTCTTTTAATTAACTAACTTACCTGACTTCCTTATTCTAATCAAATTAATTAAGTATGTCTTATATTAAAAACCAGAGAAGAAATAGACAAGAAGACATCTGCAAGAAAATGACTTCCTGCTTGCGCAAAAACCATTTTCCCCGTGTTAAAGAGGAAATGAAGGAGAGAAGAGAAAGTATGAATGTAACTTGTGGACATCAAGCTACTAAAAGTAAACTCTAACAATGGTATAATGTGTGCTTTATTCAAAAAGGTTATATGGAACAAGGAAAAAGAATGCATAAGTTTTTCCAACTATATACCAACAAAATGGAACTGATTTAAAAGAATATATATTTGAAGAAAAAAGAGATTTATCTTTAAACCAGATATATTTTCCAATACATTTGCGTAAAATTTAAAGAATGAGTTGCGCTGTTCGTGTTTTGTGAAAAGTGTGACTTGCAAGAAATTATATATATAGACTGATAGTATTTAAATGCCAAATTAATTAGGAAAATTAAAAAAAAATGCTAACCTGACGAAAATTAATCAAATGAACTTTTATCTGGATTGTGTTCCCTATCATGAAGCAAGTGGCGGCCACTTTAAAATTGAATATGCGCATTAAAATAGACTGGGCAATAGGCAATTCTTATTTTCACTTTTGGTTGGCCAAAAAGGGGGGGGGGACATGAAAAAATCAAAATTGAAATTATGAATCTAAAAAATCCAAAAGGGAAAAAAAAATCCCATCTATTGTATTGAACAATGGATTAAGAGCCAGTAGTCGCTTTCAAGAACTAATGTGCATATGAGGAGAAAATAGAACATTAAAAAATCAATGCTGAACTTTTTTTTTTTTTAACCGAAGATACTGAAGCTGAGCTTAATAAGTACAATATCCCAAAAAAACCCCGCCGTCCGTACGTATAAAGAAAATGCAGCAAGAACGTAGACGCATGAAAAAACAAACTCACCATGAAATAAATGAATGGAAAGATACATGATATAGGCAGCGCTGTACAGAGGACAAGAAAAAAAAAATCAGATGCTTAGAAACACAAGTGTTAAAAATAAAAGCAACATCAAATGAGTGAAGATTGATGAATCCATAAATACGAAATAAAATTGAAGCCACAACAAATTAAGCTTATGTTTGTTTTGAAACTAATTCATGAACTAAATGATTCACCAAGAATTTATCTTCTCACCAAAAAAGAGAGGAAGAAAAAATAAGAACGATAATTTAGATTAATTTTTGACCTTCAAAGTAGAAAAATTAGAAAACATTATAATATTTTGAGTCTTTAGATCCAATCCAAAAGCTAGCTTGTGAATAAGAGGTACCCAAAAGATATTTAAACCCTGTGAATGTTAGGACTTCAAATAATATGGGACTTATCATCCCACTACTCTTCACCCTTCCTCGTAACCAAGGTTCTGATACCACATTGGGTCTTTTAAGTCTAACTTAAAAGCTAGCTCGTGAGTAGGAGTGGATAACTCCTACTCACGAGCTAGCTTTTAGATTAGATCCAAGAGCCTCCCACATAGCCTGAAGTCATAACGCTCACAGAGTTTAAATATTCTTTAAATATCTCCTACTTACGAACTAGCTTTCGGGTCCTAATGTGGTATCAGAGTCTTGGTTGTAGAGGAGGGTGAAGAGCAGTGCCTGAAGTCTTGATGCCCACAGAGTTTAAATATCCTTTAAGTATATCAAAATTGTTCTTTTTATTTTATTTTTTTCCTTTTCTGAAATCAATGAACCAACTTTTTATTTCCTTGAGATACTCAAAGGATATTTAAACTCTGTGAGGGACATAACATCAGTTAAGGAGCTTGAATCTGAATAATATTAACTATGGTCAATCACCTTTTTTTTTTAATACCAGAAAAGTTTAGGTTGAGTTGGATTTAGGATTAGGGTATGCCTCATCTTAGTTAATAAGACATAATAATATGCGTCAACATGCTCTTAGAAAGATACTCTTTTGGTCTTATTTAAAAAGGAGAGAAAATATTTTTCTTAGTCCTATTTATAAATTATTTTATTAAATTTTTATCATGAATGTATTATATTGTCTTTTATTTATTATAACGTAGATGTTTTTTAAAAGGTGTATATATTAAATAGAGATGAAGTTAAAAATTTGTTATATTTAACCGAGAATTAATGCAATTTAAAATTTTCTTTGATCTGCATGAAATATATTAAAACTACCTTATAAATAGGACCAGAGAAGTATTAATTTTTGAAAACCAAAAGCTCAATTAGTAAAAGTGTATTTTACTATTTTTCCTCCCAAGATAATTTTTTTTTAACATTTTAAAGAAAATTGTAAAGCAATACTACCTCCTGTCTTAATTATAAAATCTCGTTTGTAGTATATAAACAAGATCTTATAAGTAGAATCAGAGGTAGTATACTCTTTTTTTAAGGGCAAATGTTTGAGTAATTGGGTTATAAAAAAAAAAAACAGTTTTTCAATCTATACTTTGGCCGATAGCTTACTTAATTTGATTCATTGCATGTTGGAAAATTTATGTAAGTCATATAATTGTATTTTTACGGTGCCCATAATTTTTTCAAGAATATTTCTCCAAGTAACATGCATGAAACGGAGTTTTAGAGTAGCTTATCTGAAAGTCTGAAACTCCATTTTCAGATTCATGTGTTAAAATTTACTTTAGTCCTCATATGAACAATTTCACCAAAATCAAAATAAAATTCTCTCTATATGCATACCTCATATTTTACAGATGATAATTAAACACGTTCCAAACAAATCACCTTGAAAAGTCACGTTCAGATCGCGCAGAGGCTTTGATTTTAAAAACACCAGCAAATAACCTTATTCCTTACCTGTCATTTTCTCAAATTGGACGAGTGGATGGTGGATCTAATAGACGACAAAATACTTACGTGTGTAATAGTTCTTCTAATGTGCCTCTTTTTCATGCTTTTTAATATTCTTCATAACACTCTAGCCTTCTAAATAATTTTTTAACTAATAAGTTCCACATAAAATGAGTAACGTTAATATCTTAAAGCGATGAGATAGTGCAGTTTTAATTTTTTTTTGCAATTTTTTTAAAATCATAAAAAAATGAAAACTGTCTCATTTCATATCAAAATATTATTTATTTTATATAGAATCTAATAATTAAAACACAATGGAAAAAAATATTTGAAAATTGGGCATTCCAAAAAATATGCAGAGAAGGCACATTAAAGAACCAAACCATTGGGTAATCGTTGTTCCTTTGATCCAATTCCGCATTTTATTAGGAGGTGGATTAGGATAATGATCAAAGGTAATTGTTTCTTCTCCTTGTATATTTTGTTATTTTTGTTGAAATCAGTTACGATAATTCATTCAAAAGGGAAAAAAAAAAAAGGTTAGAATGCAAATTTTGTCCCAAAAATTTTAACTAATATCCAAAAATTTAAAATCATTATAATATTATCTCTTGATCGTTAGTATTTTTAACGATAAGAAATAATATTATTATAATTTTAAATTTTTAAGATAAATTTATTCTCGAAAGAACTTTGTGGGTAAAAATTTCAGGCACAAATTTATACCTTACAGGACGGGAGGGGGGGGGGGGAACTTACTAGTGCACATAGTAAGCATCCATATGTTGAGAAGATGCTTTACCGGTGATCCTTGGTTCAGTTCTTTGGCTCGGTCCACCTCACAGCCCGGGCAGTTCTTATAGTATCGATTCTTCAGCAGCGGCTCTCCGTTACCGCGATCTCTGTTATCATCGCCCGCCATTTTTGGTTCTCCGCGAGATCCTCCTTCTTCTTCCTGAATACTATTTTGAGAGTATTTCCGATTCAGAACACGCCCAAGCCCCAGAAATCAAAATTTAGAAGACGACATCTGACAAATAATTAATAATGAGGGCTTTTTGCTTCTTTCATCAGTAGAAACCACAGAAGAGAGAATCAATCAACCAATCAATCAGAACGTGAGACGAAAACTGAAGAGAAGAAGAAACTTACACACAGACAGAGAGAGAGAGTGGCGGAAGAGGAGGATGCAGGGGAAACGGAAAATGTGAAGGCAGTGAAGTTTGTGGTGTGCGAATGTGGATTAGAATACTAATCCACGTTGACCATTAAATACTATTTAAATATTAAGATTGACCATAAAAATAATGATACTAATTATTGACATTTTTAATGGTACGGGGATAAAATCATTATGATTTTAAACTTCTAAGTCAAATTTGTATCTCCGGTCAAAAAAAAAAAGTCAAATTTGTATCAAAAAGAATATTTCAGTGCCCAACTCTCTTGAGTGAAAATTTTAAGAACAAACCTTAACCTTTTTATCTATTTAGGGGGTGTTTGGCATCCTCAAAACCGCGGTTTCAGAAGCATTTTTTCGCAAAACGAGGTAACCTCCTTCACATATTTACTTCGTAATCCGTAAAAGCACTTCTAAAACCATAGTTTGGTTTCTATCCAAACATCCCCTTAGTATACTCTCTTTGGACCTTATTATAAAAACTACTTACCTAATTTAGACATATTAAAAAATTCAGATAAATTAGTTAATTATAAAAAAAAATGATTTAATCTCCCTTAAAATATACCTATGAAATGTTAGATTATATCTTAGTTGATAAATTAGATAAATTAGTTTAAGAAAAATGATAATATGAGAGATCAAGTATATTGAAATTTTATATTTAAAATTAAATATAACATCTCAATTAAGAAAATAACAGCCAGCAAACAAAAATTTAAAGTCATAATTTGAGGATTTAAGTTAGTATCCACGTAATGGGCAGCTTTTGATATGATTTCCTTAGAAAAATAATGTCTCATTGATTAACCGGTGAGAGTGAAACATGATTATTAATGAGTTGTTGAAGTTTACCCCTTTGTCCTTTTTATCAGGCATATATTAGAAGATAATTTGTCTTTTTTTTTATAAGCCGGCAAAGTTTTGTCTTTTTTTTTTTAAAAATGATAAGTCACTTAACACCCTCATCGACATGAATAATAAAATTACAAAGTTAGTCTTCATGTAATGGGAAGTTTTTGAATGTACTATTTTATTCTTCATTTATTATAATGTGAATAGTTGCTCTTTTAAAATGTGTATATATTAAATAAGAGTAAAATTAAAAAAATTATTATATTTTAATAGAAAGTTAATACGGTTTAAGATTTTTCTTAATTTGTATGAAACATGTTGAAAGTGCTTTATAAATAACAACAGAAGAGTAGTACAATAAAAATGGAACGGGAGGTTATTATATTATAAACAAATCGCCACTATACAGACAGAAAATAAAACTAGTTATCATCATCTGTTGATTTTTTTGCTTATATAATTTAAATACATACCGGCGTTATTAAACACCATGCTCAAAATACAAGCATGACGAGTGATGCTGCATTGCTACTGGTTGGATAACTTGCTGTTGACATTTATTAATTTGATATAAATATAAAACTATATTTTATATCTTTATTGGTTGAATTAATAGTACAGTATTTTTTTTATTGGTTGAGATAGAGAAGCTACTGCAATGAATGAAAATCTCTCCATGATTACCCATTAATGCCACTTGCAATAGTTATTGAGTATTTTGACACCAGAAATCATTTTATATTGCAAGAATTAAATTTTGATAGAGAAACATGTCAGAGAGAAGCGATTAGGTTGCTAGAATCACTAACAGATGAGCAAAAGAACATATTCAACCAAGTAATGAAAGCAACAAACCATCCTACTGAGGGGTTCTTCTTTGTGTATGGTTTTGGAGGTACTAGAAAAACTTTCTTATAGAATACACTAACAGCATCGATTAGAGCACGAGGAGGAGTAGTGATTAATGTGGCTTCAAGTGGAATAGCTGCAACTTTACTACCTTCAGGCAGAACTGCACATTCAAGATTTGCAATTCCAATTGATATTAATGAAGATTCCATGTGCAACATATCCCAAAGTTCACCATTGAGTGAGCTTATCAGGTGTGCCAAATTGATTATTTGGGATGAAGCCCCAATGGTGAAACGATTTTGTGCAAAAGCTATTGATAGGACATTCAGAGATATAATGAAGTGTAATCGTCCCTTTGGAGGCAAATGCATTGTCATGAGAGGAGATTTCAGAAAAATATTGCCTGTCATCCCAAAAGGTAGTCGTGCAGATGTTGTCAACTCAACCATAAACTCTTCTTATCTATGGAGTCATTGCAAGTTATTCCAACTTACCAAGAATATGCAATTATCTTCGAGTTCATCCACAGATAATTCAAAATTGAAATTATTTTCTGACTGGCTTTTGGATATTGGTGATGGTCGCATTGGTTTACCTCATGATGGAATGGAAGAGATAGAAGTCCCTGATGATTTTTTAATTATGGACTATCATGATCCTCTACAGTCGATTGTCGAAGCCACATATCCTGATCTTTTACATCATTTAGCTGATTCCGAATATCTCACTAATAGGGCCATTTTGACACCGACAGTTGAAGTGGTTGACCAAATTAATGACTATATGTGCTCCTTACTGCCTGGCGAGCCTATTGAATATTTTAGCTCTGATTCTGTGAGTATAGCTGATCAAGGTTGTGCATCATTTCAAGAATTGTATACTACTGAATTCTTGAACACAATAAAATGCTCTGGCTTGCCTCCGCATAGACTTGCAGTGAAAGTTGGAGTTCCCATAATGCTGGTGAGAAACATAGATCAAGCTGCAGGACTCTGTAATGGCACAAGACTAAAGATCACATTTCTTGGTAAACACTTTATTAAAGCAATAGCTCTTAATGGTACAAGCATAGGTCAAGAAGTTTTGATCCATCGAATGGATATGAACCCTTCAAAATCTAGACTACCATTCACGATGACAAGAAGGCAGTTTCCTATCATATTATCATTTGCCATGACGATCAACAAAAGTCAGGGACAATCAATGACTAATGTTGGCTTATACCTACGCAGACCTATCTTCACACATGGTCAATTATATGTTGCGCTGTCAAGGGTTAAGTCTATGGATGGCATCAAGATTTTAATTCTTGATTCAGATAAAAACCCAACAAACAGAGAAATATTTTAAAACATCATGTGAAGCTTATTGGTGATTAAATGTTTCTTTATAAGGTAAAAAAAGATTTTTGTTGTTCTTTTTTGTTAATTTTGTTGGTACTTTCATACTACTCCTATATACCCTTTTTTATGTTTTAAAAAATTATTTTCATTAATTTTATGTCAAAACATCTATGCTCAAATTTTGTGTGCATTGTTATGACAAAATTATTCATAATTCACAACCAGTGCAACGCACGGGAGAGTTTTCTAGTTTTTTTAAAAATCAAGTGGGCACTATTTATGAAGTTTGAAATTGTTCTTGTCTCACCATCGCGGAGTCACATACACACAATTAAGAATTTGGCAACGCCAGAACAAGTTGACTATTGATGTTTTCAAAAAATCAAATAAAACTAGAGATTTTTTTCCCATGCGATGTACGGATTAAAATATTTGATTAAATTTTAAATGATAATAAATTGTATTATCTAAGGCAGCTTAAAATTATATTTACTTTTTATAGAAGTGTAATTTTTTTTATTCATTCAAATGAGATTTGAATTAGAGATTTAAAAATTAAGAAGACCATATAAAAATTTAAAATTATTTATTTATTTCTCTATTTAAGCCCCCAATTGACGTATTATTTAATTATGATGTTTTCTATTTAATTCAATATATTCAAATCCCAATTAAAATATCATTTAAACTCAAAATTAGTTATTAATTCCTTCATTTGACTCTCAAATTGAAATCCCATTTAATAATAATACTCTTCATTTAATTCAATATACATAAATCCCAATCAAAATATTATTCAAATCTTATCAATTAAATATATTCGGATGTCTTCATGTTATACCCGACCCGTTTTTAAAACGAACCTGGTATTACAAGTTTTCAAGAATATAATTGATTATTGATTGATAGCTTGCTGCTTCATTAATGAGGCTAATTAATAGATACTACTTTCAGATAAACATAAAAACATGTCATATTCATTTATTTTCAGCAAAAATAGAGCATCATTTTGTAACTCTAACCACACATAACAAAACCACACCTAAGATGATTAAGACCACATATGATTAAAATGAGCCTCCATTGATAGTTTAAGTGTTCGTTTGATTCAGCAATTGGAAAAGCTGCTTATTGAAAAAGCAGCTTATGGATAAGTGAAATTGGGTAAAAACTAAATTGGATAAGCTGAATTGTGTTTGGATTGGAGTTCAGAAAAGTTCGTTTGCAAAAGTGAGATTGGTAAAAAGTTGTTTGGATTATGGTTAAGTAAAAGTAAATTTGGTTGTAAAATGACCAAAATGGGCATGAGTTTTAATAAATAATAAAAAATAGAAAAAAAAATAACTTCACATAATACAATGAAATTAAAATAATTTAATATGAAGAAGTGAATTAAATTTTAAAATTTTAGAGAAATTAAAAAATTATTTTAAATATAAAGTGAAAGAGAAAAAATTGAATTGAGATAATATAATGAAGAAGTAAAATTTAATGAGTGAATTAGAATTAAGAACTTTAGAGAAATAATAAAAAATATTTAAGAAATGAAGTGCAACATGATAAAAAATAAATAAATTAACATAATACAATAAATTTAAATTAATGAGGGACATTGGCCGAAGAAAGAGAAAAGTTCAGGAGAATGGAGAGCTCTCTGATGCGAAAGAAAAAGAAGAGTTCAGGAAGAAATGACGGACATTGGCTGAAGAAAGAGAAAAGTTGTATCTCAACGATAAAAAATAAGCCCTTAAGTTGATCCTATAAGCCAGAAAAGAGAGGTTAGGCCAGAACGTGCGTTTATCAGCTTAAATCTCATAAGCTGCTTTTCTTTTTTTTAAGCCCAACCAAACAAGGTAATCGGACCAATCGGGCTTACACTACAAATAAGCTCCTTATAAGCCCTCTAAAAGCCCTACCAAATGGACCCTAAGTGAGTTGAATCATATTCTTAATACACACACATCCATAGCCAATCAACTTTCGAAACCAACATTAAACTTTCAACGGTTGTGGAAGAAAGAAGACAAATGTTATTAATGATGAGACCTACAAAGAAGATGAAGAAAAAACATAACTTCCCTGAAATAATGGAGACGATGGAAATGGTTGGAAACCTCTTTTCTTTCTTTGTGAAGCTTCTCTTCCTCATGCATGTAGCACCCAACGCGCCAACTAAAAGCATCTCCTTTCTTTTCTTTTTCAATTAATGAGAGCAAAATAGACACAATTGCAATGTTTTGCTCTATGGTCTTTGGGGACTGAGGAAGAATTTCAGAATTTCATGAGACTTTGATGAATAAATTCTGATCCTTAAGACCTCTATGTAATTTTTTTCAAAAAAAAAAAGTCACATGTTTTTAACATATTAATTACAAATAACATATTTATATACTTATTTAAGATTTTATATTTAAATTAAAATATTTTATACATTTTGAATTAGAAAGAGTAGTCATAACATAAAGTACTAGTTATGTTACAATTTTCAAGATCACTTATTACAACTTTTATGGTAAAAATAGAAAATCATTGGATAATATTACATAACACTTCATATTATGTAGTAAGAGAGTCTTCTAAATGACCCAGCGAGAAGGCCTCTTGACAAAGATGAGGCCTCAGAATAAATCCTGGTATTGACGTATTTATTCGTGCACATGTATTTGAATTGTATACATAACCAACGGGGCTAGACTTTTATGACATAGCAAATTAAGATTTGAATTTTTGTTGAAAAAAATACTCATATTTAGTACTACTTGATTGTGTCTTGAATAAGAATACCTTTAATAGAAAGATAGCTATACCCAGTTAAAAAAATTGTATCTATAAAAAAACACAGGAGAAAAAGTCTTCTAACTCATTGAGAAGGAAAATTTAGGGAAAAATAATATCTCGTTAAAAATTTTATCAATGAGAATGACTTGATAAATTTTTATATACTCTTTTGCCCCTTAATGTGAGAATTAATTAATTAATTTGAATAAATTAATAATGTTAGTTAAATTAGTTAATATAATATATTTTTGTTAAAATATTTTAAACATTTTTCTTAATTCCTTCATTTCCTCTCTTACTTAATTATCGTTAGGAGAATATCAACAGTACTAATTTAAAAAAGAATTGACAAGTATGTGAAATATGTCTTATATATAAAATTAATATCAACTCAAATCCAAACTTCAGCTCCACTGAGGTTTCCATCCACTACGCCTCCACTTCGGCTCTACGACAACCATTTGGAACAGATGATAAAACATAATTGAAATGGATTATCATGGGTGGCTATAAAATTAAATATGGATACATATGTGGGGCTCACAAAATATCACCAGTACAAACATAGTTTTATTCCAAAACAAAATTTATTTATATTACATAATAAAATTATCCTTTTTTCTGGCAATAAAATCATCCTTTTTAAAATATCATATAAACTACTTCTTCTTTTTTTTTTATCTTATTTATAAAACAAAGTGAGAAAATTTCTTTTCCCAATTTATATATTACATCATTAAATTTTTAATATGAATATACTATTTTATCTTACATAAATTATTTTTCTGATCTTATTTATAAGTTTAAGTAAGAATTTTTTTTTGTTCTATTTATACATCACATTATTAAATTTTTAAGGTGAATATATTATTTTACCTTTCATACAAAGCAAATTGAAAAAAAAAATTTGGTTCTACTTATGTATCATATTATTAAATTTTTAACTTATATAAACTACTTCTCTAGTTTTATTTATAAAGAAAAGCAAGAAATTTTTTTTTATCCTATTTATATATCACAAGTGATATCATTAAATTCTTAACATGATATATTATTTTGGATGAAAATACACTTTTACTGGTAAATATTTTGTGGGCCCTACATATGTATCCCCATCACCCCATAAGAGCATTTGCTCCGCCTATTGCTTCTCTTTAATTTTGGAATTCAATTTTATAGTGAGAGTGGTAATTGAAACAGACTATGAAATTTTGGTGAGGTTTTTAAAAGGGAAAGATGCTGCTCAAGATTTTATTCCCCCTTTGCAGTCACGTCTTCTGCAATTAATGGAGTATCAGTGGAGTGTGAAAATCTGTAAGATTAGAAGGGAGCTGAACATGTGTGCGGATAGCAACGAGGGATATATCAAATTCTGGGGGAAGTGCCGCCAAAGTTGCGGAGCCTTGTGGAAAGAAAGGGGCTGAAAGGAGTTTGAGGAGACAGATTTGAACTCTTCTGAAGGAGTCTTGTTTTGAGTGTAATTCTGGGCCTTAGGCCTCTTTTATTAACAAAATTTTTTGGTATTTCTCATTAATAGAATTTTTGAATGGGAATTTTCCCCCCCTAGTTTTCAACGCTGAGAGTTATTGAGAGAAGGAACCAAAGTGGAAAGTTGTGCAAATATATATATAGAGAGGGGGGGGGGGGGGGGGGGGGGAGAGTATCAGATTCCAATTTGCAAGAAAAACCAGAGAATGGTGATTGGGGCAGTGCATGGGGCTTGAGCTTCACATAAATTAGCGGGTAATATCTTCCCCACTTCTGTGTACGAGATTCTTCTAATCCGCACGGATTAAAAAAATAAATTCAATTACTCCTCCCCTTTTTTTACCCAAAGAAACAATTACTATCTAGAATTTATTTTAAATTTTTTTTCCAACAAAATTTATTTATATTTATTAATTTCTCATTTTACTCTATTTAATTATTCATTTTAATATAAATATATTTATTATCACATGGCACACATTTTCTGTGCCGTCTATTCTTTCTCTTCTACCATTTTTTTAATTTTAATAACTTCCTTTAGTGGTTTGGTTCTATTCAGTCCAATCTAAATAAACTATAATTCTCACCTAAAAAAAATAAATAAACTATATAATGAAATTACACTAGACTAGACCAGACTGGTTGGTTAAACTGGATTGGGTTTCAGACCAAGTGATCAGACCACCTAAACTAGTCTAATCCACTCTAGATAAATTTTTTATTTTTCAATAATTTGTAATT